TCATTGGCCATTGACAGTATTTACCAGCGATGGCACGCTGTTCATTTGACTAAAATCATGTTATCCCAATAAACCATTCCCTCCATAAACTTATCTAGCTTAATCTTAAACCTGCAAATGATGTGGTAACTCAGGCTGGCGTTTTGAATTCATGCACAATTTGGGTCGCAGGAAAACTTCACCTTATAAATAAGTTTTCCATGATGAAGAAAAAAGAAAACAAATCTCCTGTATCATCTGACCTGGGACCACAGAGACTGAAAAGCCTCAGTCATCACGATCATAGGATATGATTGTTTTAACTTGTTTGGAATTCTTTTAAATTAAACCTTAACTCTGAATGTTGTGGCTTTATAATGCTTCTTTTTGACAACACCGCCATCATGTATTTCACGCAGAATATGCACTCTTGGCTTTAACTCCCTGCTAGCATAGTTTTTGGTCTGGGACTTCTCTCAGAACTCCTCATGTTCACACATCAGCAATGCCAGCCAGAGGCACCGACTCGGTGTGTGCCGGGGCTGGAGCACCCACCAACCACAGCTGTTCAGCAGCCCCGCCAATCAGCTGTTCAGGGGCTGGCGGGAGGAACTTGGGGGGGGGGGAAGGGGAGGAGCAGGGGAGGGAAGAGACAGAGTGAGGGCAGGGCATTGGGGGAAGGGGTGAAGTGAGGGCAGGGCCTTGGGATGGAGCGGGGGTGACGCAGCCACCGGGAAAAATAAAACTCAGCGCCTGTGATACCAGTCATCACAGTCCAGCTACCTCATCCCTCAACTTGGTCACCCTCATTGGGTCCAGCTGCCCTGTCCAGTTCAGGCACTGCCCCCGGAAAGAGTTTCAGGCATTGCTCCTCCCCCCAGTCAGATTCAGGTGTCACCCATCACCCCTAGTCAGGTTTAGGTATTGCCCCTCCACCTCAGTCAGGGACAGGCATCTCCTCCCCCCTGAAGGTCAGGCCCTGCCCCACCCTAGTCAGGTTCAGTACTGTGCCCTCACAGCCATCTCCCATTTGTAAATCTTGGGGCGCTAGGGGCCCCTCCTGTTCCCACAGTAGCACATGTGGCATTTTTTCCTAAAGTGCAGACATCAGTCGCTGGTGAGACCCCTCCAGGTTGGAGTAGGGAGCTGGGTCTTATCCCCCCAAGATTTATGTACGGCTCCTGTCCAGTTCAAGAGGCTGCCTGGCTCGTCCGGCTCGCATTAGTATGTCTGACCTGCATATCGTAGGCTCTTCCCAAACACAGCCGTCCACAGGTACGGGACTGTGCTGATCTCCGTGCCATGGGCCAGCATGTTCAGAGCTGCTATGCGGCCTGGAAAACCGAAGAAACAGAGTGTAAGAAAGGAAATCGTGCGGGAGTCTTGCCACACGCGCTGTGCCTGGGCAGGCCCAGAGTGCTCGGATTGCGCCCAGGACTTTGGGATGGTTTAAAGCCTTTTGCTACCAATTGCTCTAATCACAGTGTAAGTGGAGCCTAAGACCTTTCACCTTAGATTAAAAAACGCCCATCAGACAACCAAGCAGAGGGACGACAGCAGAAGTTTCATGAACCACAATGCTAGCAAGGTCATGGTGAAGCCCCTCAGTTACCTGCCTTCAAAGGAAGGTTGTGTGGCTCTCGTTCAACTATAGACCCTTAATCTGCACCTTCCCACCCCCGAGAAGACGGGCTACCAGTAAGGATAAGATTATGTCACGGAGATCACGGATTCCCGTGACTTTACGAGACCTCCTGCTTCAACCCCAGGGCAGCAGGGCCAGAGGTCTCAGCTGCTGGGGGGGGGAGCAGGGCTCTCAGCTTCCTCAGGGGGACCTGGAGCCACTGCGGATGGTGGGACCCCAGAGCTCTGAGCCGCTGGGGCTGTGGCAGAAGGATCTGGAGCTGTCGGCAGTGGCAGGTGCTGGACTTCCTCCTCCCTCCTGCAACAGACCTCAGGCTCTCTTCCCCCTCCTCCCCAGCCCCGCTTGGGCATCAGTCAGCTCCCCGTCAACACCGCCCGCCCCCATTATGTTTAGTAAAAGTCACAGACAGGTCACAGGCTTCCATGCATTTTTGTTTCTTGTCCGCGACCTGTCCGTGACTTTTACTAAAAATAACCGTGACAAAATCTTAACCTTAGCTACCAGTCTCACCCCCGCCCCTTTCAGTGTTCCCCTCCAATGACAGGGCAGACTGGCGCCTGGCCCCTTTCACAGATATCGAAAAATGAACGAGGAGAGAGGGGAAGAGGAGGGACAGTGGATAAAACACTTCTCAAGAGCAGAGATCTTTATGGGTCAAAGTATCAGTGCCCCCCAAAATCTGTACTGGCGCTATGGTGATTCAGGGCTTCGTAGACTGAGAATGGCGTTGCTGTAGGTAAAGAAGAGCATGTTTTCAGTGCCGATGCTTCTTTATGTCATGTAATGATATTAAAATCCTCGAAGCATGTTTAGAACGATGCTAACCAGAGTATTGCGTTCAAAAGGAAGGGTAACCTGGGTGATAGAACTCTAAAAACTGACCACTGGAGCACCTGGCTGGCAGACTGGCAGTGCCACGGTGGGACGCATGAGACTGGGGGGTGGGGGGAAAGGCTGATGCAAAAAAGAGAAAGGGGCTAGTGTGCAAGCCGGGGGATGACTGAGTCCTTCAACTTGCCTGGTGGATTTTTCCTTTTTTCTGGGTAAACTGTTGGACACTGAGAGAAGCCAAATGCCTAAGGCCAGCAGGTTAAGGACAATATAGGTATTTTTAAATACATCGGGAAGAAGAGGAATTCTAGCAATGGTCTAGGCCACATTTGATTATGTTCAATATGGGCAAAGAGAAGACAGTCGCAGCCAGAACAACCTAGACTTGGTGCTTGAAAATCACTCATTTCCCAACACTGGGAACAATTATGAGCCAAACTGAATAAGAGGAAAAATTGAGATAGAAAAATGTGAATGAAAAATAGGAGTTTATTAGAGGGCCAAAAAGCCAGGACTCCACACACAGGCTAGATGACTACTTGGGCTAAAAACCCATCCTGGTTCAGTGGTGAAGTGAAGGCCGCATTAGAACTAAAACAGAAACATATAACTAATGGAAGAAAAGGGAAATCGAAGGAAATCAGTATCAGTTAGAGGCTATGAAGTGTAGAACATTGATAAGGGAAGTGTCACAGGACGGCTGACCCCTTTAAATGAAGCAGGCCCAGTGCCCCTGTGCCAGTTTGGCCATTTAAGAGGGTGAGGCACTGCCTAGGGCTGTAAATGAGCCAGGCAGCAGGGCCCTAGTGGGGAGACAGATCTGGTGAATTGGGGTTACCAGCTTCATTCGGAAGAAGGCAGGTGAGAGCTACCGGCAACCAAGAGACTACAGGAGGTCCTCGTAGGAAGCAGAAGGTATTTCCTGGGAGAAGGCTGAAGGCAGGAGCGATGCAAGCGGGTTTGTTGGCTGATCTCCCTGAGCCAGGGCTGGAGAGGGCGGAAGGCAGGAAGAGGAGCGGCAGCAGCAGAGAGAGGTGCCTACTGGCTCTAAGCCAGAAAGCCGAAGGTAGAAGAGGGCTGGAGGCAGGGGAGCAGCAGAAGGGCTTGCAGCTGACATGCTGGAGAGCTGGACCCAGGGAACAGCGAGAGGGCTGGGGGAGTGAACGATCTCCCAGCAAAGGGGCTGTGGGGTTCCCGTTGGGAAGAGCAGGGTGACACTCCGTCTGGAAGGGCTAGGGTGGCTATCCTGGCAGAGGGCTTGAAGAGGACTGACAAGGAACTGAGATGTAGTGGAAGACACGGCAGTATGAGGATGCAGTCCCAGCAGAGAGCCTTGCGGGGTGAGGTTCCTGCTGGAAAGAGAGGGTTTTAAGGATTACATGCACTGCGGTGAGATGGACTGTGTTGGAGACTTTCGATTATGGACTGATTTGCACTGTGTTTTGATAATAAACTGGCCACACAGAGGGGTATTATTGAAGCAAGAAAGCGGATATGTAGTTACTGGGGACTCTGAAGGAAGGAAACTGAGGCAGGCGTGCCGGCTGTCCAGCATGGAGATGTCAGCAGGAGGAACATATGTCACAGGTTGACTGGCCCCTTTAAATGAAGTAGGCCCAGCTCCCCTGTGTCTGTACAGGTGCTCCTAGTTTGGCCAATGGAAGGCGGGGCAGCACCTGGAGTTATAAAAGGATCAGGGGGAAGAGAACCTGGTGAGTCAGGGCTGACAGACTCACTCAGTAAAAAAATCGTTGCGAGCTGCCAGAGACCTGGAGGAGCAGAAGGTGGCTCCTGGGCAAAGGTAGGAGAGCAGCAAGAGGGGTTTGCAGTTTGGCTTCCCTGAGCCAGGGCCGGAGGGGGCTGAAGAAAGGGAGGCAGCCGAGGGGCTAATCTGCCGACATGTCCACACTGGAGAGTTGGACACTGGGACAGTGAGCGGGGCAGGGCAATGAGGGATACTGTCTGATTTGCACTGTGTTTGGCTAAGAAACTGGCCCCAAGGAGGGTTATTATTGAGGCAAGAAAGGTTGTGTGAAGTTACTGGGGACTCTTAAGGAAGGAAACTGAGGCAGGTGTGCCTGTCATGCCCAGCTTGCTGCAGGAGGGTGCTCCAGGAAGGATTGTGCTATGGCAGGAAGCTAAAGGCATCCCTGGCTTGCACAGCTAAGGACTGGGGCTGTATTTGGGGGCCTAAAGAGGAAGGTGGGCACCTAATCGGATTTACAAGCACGGCAATGGGAGTTAGGGACTCGACTAGGTTACATGCTTTATTAAGTCCCACTAGGCACCTATCTGCATCAGTAGGTGCCTAAATACCTTTAAATCTGAAAACCCCCCATTGGGTAAGGACCACTGGCCAATCTAAGACAAACAACCCATGACGGAATAATGAGGGATAATATTGAACAGTCAAGTGAATGGTGAATAATAAATCCCCATTCCCCTGCTACCTATTCCCAACTGCCTCTCTATCTAGCCAGGTCTGGCTGGCTGACTTCCTGCGCATCTTCAAGACAGGCTTGTCCCTAAGTAGTTCAGGAGCCATAATGTGAAGGGACTGAAATACACCCACCATGCATATGTGCCATCTGCCAGTGAGGGATGTTCACCTTCTTGTTGTTACGCAAAGCCAGAGGAAAGGTGACAGCATCACCAGCCGCAAAAACTCCTGGGATGTTGGTCTGCATCATCTGAAAGGAAGCAAGGGGCCGTTAGCACTGTAGTAGGGAGAGGGCCTGAAACATAAGCCCATGTATCAAGGCCTGGTAGGAGGCCTGAGGCCTGGGCTAAAGTAGTCAAAACTTTGCTGATATAAAGCAAAGTTAAGTTGTGCGCAAGAGGCAGGCCAGCCTAGCGGGGAATGGAAAGTCCCACCATACACTGAGCTGCGTCCATTGTCACGGGCACACACGTGCTAGTAGAATTGTAGACATTGATCTGGAGAGCTAGGACCACGCTTCGTCGACGATAAACCTGGCCTGGTGCCTTCGCACCTTAACGGATTTTATGGTCATTGGGCGGTTCGCTCGAGGTCTGCTGTGCCAGCTGTCTGCGCAGAGCTGGGGCAGCGCACGGAGGGAACACACGCAGCCGAACATCTAACCACAAGCATCACTGGTGATTACGCCGCAGTTGGTGTTACAAGTGCAGGGTCAGCAGCAGCATTGCTTCACCGTGATTACAACACTTAGCCAAATCAGGCAAAAAGAATCCAAGCGCTAGAGGAGAAGGGAAGGGATGAGAGAGAGAAAAGAAGTTGCTTCCCCATCTACACCCCAATGCATTACTCCCACTTCTCCTTTGCCAGCTGTACCCACTGTGACAGACCCAGACCAGTGGGGTACAGGAGTCTGGTAGAGGGCAAATATACTGGTCACTGGATGAGTAGTTTTCTGTTCCCTGAGTGACCAGAGCAGGGGCTGCACTAGAGTAATCAGGAACCTGCTAGAACCAGTTAAGGCAGGCAGGCCTATTAGGACACCTGGAGCCAATTAAGAAGACGCTGCTAGAATCAATTAAGGCAGGCTAATCAGGGCACCTGGGTTTTAAAAGGAGCTCACTTCAGTTTGTGGTGCAAGTGTGAGGAGCTGGGAGCAAGAGGCGCAAGGAGCTGAGAGGGAGAGGCACAGAGGGAGAGGCTGTGCTGTTGGAGGACTGAGGAGCACAAGCATTATCAGACACCAGGAGGAAGGTCCTGTGGTGAGAATAAGGAAGGTGTTTGGAGGAGGCCATGGGGAAGTAGCCCAGGGAGTTGTAACTGTCATGCAGCTGTTACAGGAGGCACTATAGACAGCTGCAGTCCACAGGGCCCTGGGCTGGAACCCGGAGTAGAGGGCAGGCCCGGGTTCCCCCCAAACCTCCCATTTGACCTGGACTGTGGGTTCTTCCAGAGGGGAAGGTCTCTGGGCTGTTCCCCAACTCACATGGTGAATCTCTGAGGCAAGAAAATCCGCCAATAAGCGCAGGACCCACCAAGATAGAGGAGGAACTTTGTCACACCACATAGGGTTCACTGGATGAAAGGATAGCAGGGCCCGGGCATCTGGAACCCAGCCTCCCCCACAATCTCTAGTGTCAGCACTACAAGATGTCTTGCAAAACCATACCATGCCATAGAAACAGTCCTAATATCAGTACCTTCCCAGAGACAGTCAACCTGTCCTGTTCCACTGTTCCTGCTGATGGTTAACTTTTATACATAAAGATGTATTTTTACACTCACATGGGTCATTAACTAGGTGTGACCCCCCCCCACAACCTTCATCTTCACAGCACGGACCTTTTTCACCTCACCTACAGGACAATGGGCGGAGGTTCTTGGCGGGGGGGGAAGGGGAGTGTATAAACCATGCTACTGCTCTCTGTGTGGACCATATAGGGAGTCACAATCACACATTGTTACTAGGTTACACAGTATTTGAGAGAGCAGCAGGACACTAGGCATCAAGATTCTAGGTGTGTCTTCCTGTTTATGGGAGCATCGTTCAGACAGACGTGCTTCTGTGGGGGTTGTCTGTGATGACAGAACCTAGAACCTCCAGCTGTAGAAGCACAATCCCCTGACACTTGAGTTAAAGAACCACATCATGTAGCACACAATGAGCAGTACAGTCATAAACCTTGATCCGTGGTATAACTTCTAGAGGGTGACCGCTGCAGAGCCGTACTGGCAGTGTGGGTTACACACGCATCTGATTTGGCAAGCCGCTTCTTGAAGACTGTGTGGCAAAGTGGATGAGAGTTGGCTTGGTCATACGAGAGACAGAGACCCCGGTCCTCAAAGGTATTTCCCATTGAAGTGGATGGGAGTTAGGGGTCTAAATACCTTAGGGGATCTGGGTCCTATCCTGGCTCTGTGAAATGAGTGCATTAGAGTCAGCCTCCAAGGCTCCAGTAACACAGTGCAGGTTCTGCACGGCACAGAAACATTAATAGCAGTTAGCGTAAGTTATGTGAGTAGACCTCTTGGTTACCAGGTGTGTAGTTTAGTGCAACTGCGGATACACTCCAGGAATTTGTGGGAAGGGGTGGGAGCGCTCTCTCTATTTTTTTCTCATTTTGCTTCCGCAGAATCATTTGATGTCTGAAGCTTTTCACATCCTCATGGGACAGTCCACAGCAGGGGCCAAAATCGCATTCTCTTGCGCGATTTTATTGAGAGTCAATATTCATAAGAATCTGTTAATCTTAAAAAGCAACAGAGAGTCCTGTGGCACCTTAAAGACTATGGGTACATCTACACTACAGGGGGGAGTCGATTTAAGATACGCAAATTCAGCTACGTGAATAGCGTAGCTGAATTCGACGTATCGCAGCCGACTTATCCCGCTGTGAGGACGGCGGCAAAATCGACTTCTGCGGCTTTCTGTCGGCGGCGCTTACTCCCACCTCCGCTGGTGGAGTAAGAGCGCCGATTCGGGGATCGATTGTCGCGTCCCGACGGGACACGATAAATCGATCCCCGAGAGGTCGATTTCTACCCGCCGATTCAGGCGGGTAGTGTAGACCTAGCCTAACAGATGTATTGGAGCATAAGCTTTCGTGGATGAATACCCACTTCGTCTTCAAGGTGCCACAGGACTCTCTGTTGCTTTTTACAGATCCAGACTAACACGGCTACCCCTCTGATACTTGTTAATCTTAAACTACTCACTTTGAGGCTACCGATAGCTCAAAAATCCCTTGGCTAAATGACCCCATATTTATCCCTTAGTGAGCCACACTAATTTTCAAGATACTCTAAAATACACACGCGTAGGCAGATGACTTTGAAAATTTGGCTCTAAACAGCAACTGCACTACAACCTTAATTCTGGATTTGCTCCCACTCCTCCACTATATGGCTGACTCCACACCTACCATCACAGCCTGCGTAGGGCCTTGCAACTGTCAGTGCTTTGACAGTGTTTACCTTGTTGACGACAATGAAGCCTTTGGAATCAATGTTAATGCCGCTTTGCTTCAGAAATCCTGTTGCTGGACTTGCACCTGCCGGAAAGGCAAAGGACATTGTGTGAGTGGGTCTGACTCCCAGACACTGTCTCTCTCATGAAAACAGATGTCAGAGCGAGAAAGGACCTGCTACCTCCAACAATCACTCTCCTGCCAATGTCAGTTCAGTTCCATGATACCAGGTGCTGCTCAGTTAACAGCTTCTGTTGGGTCTCACGAATGCAGCTGTGCTGAGTGCCACAGTGGGCAGCGAATGAATGATTGACAGGGGGCATCAGAGCCTTGTTGGCCAAGTTCAGTGGATGGGGAGGATTTGGCAGAAACTAAAGTAACAGTGGAAATGCACAGACCTAGGGATAAACTGATTAGAATACGTACAACATGTGCAGCTGCACTTGGAAACCAGGTAACTCTGTTCTTATCAGATAGCACGTGGAGAGCACTCCTTCTCTCCCTGTTTGCTGTCCTCCACAGCACTGCCCTTCCTTTCCAGCCTCCTGTGCTCCAATTAACTCACCCCACTCCCACTCTAAAAAATAGCAGAACGATCTCCTTCGAAAAGTGGAGCTAACACGCTAATTGCCACCCATCCGTGGTGATCACTGTGCTTGTAGACTGTATCCCTGCTCCTCTAACCTTTGCCTGGCTTGTACGTTCAAGTCCCCCTCCTGCAATGAGTTCCACCTGCATGGAGTGCACTGCAGGACTGAGGCTTTGTCCAGGAAGAGAGCACAAGGAGGCGGCATAGCGCCCTGAACCCGAAGTGTGGCCATATATAGAGCACCCGAAGCGGCGGCCGTGATTTTTAATCTGAAAATGTTTTTGGTTGTAGCTTTTTAAAACATCAATACAAAATGCAAATCAAAGATGGGAAATAAAAGCTAGGCTGTGTAGACTGCCTAATTTGTACAAAATGACGCACAAGTACATTATGTCAATAGTTACTGCCTAGTTAAATGAGAGAGGGGTTTTGTGGGAGTCCTTGAACAGTGGTCAGGGGATCTTCTTCTGGAAAAGTTTGAGAACCACAGATGTATAGGATTCAGAGTAGCAGCCGTGTTAGTCTGTATCTGCAAAAAGAACAGGAGTCCTTGTGGCACCTTAGAGACTAACACCTTTATTTGAGCATAAGCTTTCGTGGGCTACGGCCTACTTCATCGGATGCATGCAGTGGAAAATACAGTAAGAAGATATAGATATATATATACACACACAGAGAACATGAATGGGTGTTACCATACACACTATAAGGAGAGTGATCAGTTGAGGTGAGCTTTTATCAGCAGGAGAGAAAAAGAACTGTTAGTAGTGGTAATGAAAATGGCCCATTTCCTGCAATTGACAAGGAGATGTGAGGAACTGTGTGTGTATGTGTGTGTGGGGGGGAAGTAAGCATGGGGAAATAGTTTTACTTTGTGTAATGGCCCATCCACTCCCAGTCTTTATTCAAGCCTAATTTAATGGTGTCCAATTTGCAAATTAATTCCAATTCAGCAGTCTCTCATTGGAGTCTGTTTTTGAAGTTTTTTTGTTGTAATATTGCGACTTTTAGGTCTGCAATCGAGTGGCCAGGGAGATTGAAGTGTTCTCCAACTGGTTTTTGAATGTTATAATTCTTGACGTCTGATTTGTGTCCATTTATTCTTTTACGTAGAGACTGTCCGGTTTGGCCAATGTACATGGCAGATGTATAGGATTCCACATACTACACAATGAATATTACCATGTTTTAATGCACTTCAAGTTTAAAATTCACAAGGGTGTGATCAATGGGCATTGAATTGGGTGAGTCTTATCAATGAGAATAGTTTTAGTCTGTTTCTCTATCTATCACAAATATTTCAAAAGTGATGGTATCTAAGCACCAAACTATCGTTAAAAGGAGCACAACCATGTTCAAAGAGGGCTCTCCTCTGTTTCTCTGCATTACAGTTTTCCCCCTTCTTTTCTTCCCCCCCTTTTTTTTTTCTATTTTCCTTTTTTCAGTCTCACTTTTCAAAACTTCACCAACTTTGGAAACTCAACAGGCAGCAAAAGGGAAAATGGAACTCTGTCACCTGGTGACTCTTCCAATGCTGGAGATGTTTTGGAAAGTTATAGAGATGAAAAAGGGAAAAATACTCTACATATCATCCGTTCTACCACATCAGGTTGTTAAAAAAAATGAATCAAAATAAAAAATTTGAAATTAAATGAATTTTTTCCTGGAAAACAAAAATCAAATGAAAAATCGTTGAGGGAAACAGTAAGTTTTATGACCACATCTATTACCTAACCACAGTTCTGACAAGGGACTTTGACTCAGCTACTCTATCTCACTGTTATCTTCACATCTCTTTGGCAAGGATCAATTAACCAACAGCTGGAAAGGTTCCCCTTGTTTGCGTGTTGATGGTGGATTTGATGGGTTGCAAAGGGCTGGACTCAATGACCGAAGAGGTCCCTACCAGTCTAAGCTAACAAGCTCTCTCCTCTGTCTGGGGAAGCAGAAGCCACACTGTTGCCAAACACTGAAGCTTTGCACATCAGGATTCGTTTACCTATGCCGATGACACAGACATCCGCACGGAGGACTTTCCCACTCTTCAGGACAACTTCCTTAAGCTTTAGGGGACACAGATGAAAATCATGGTTACTTTAAGGACAGAAAAGAACCTAGCAGTACCCAGCTGAGTTGGAATCTCGCTCTCGTTCATGAGATAAGGGGAAATGACTCTATTGTAATTCTGCTTCAATGAAGAGATTATCCTGCAGGATTCTCACTCTTGGGTCTTGGCTCCCTAATGTAAAACCTGTAGCTGCAGGTTTCTTGCTCCCTAATGACAGCGGTAATGCATGATATATATCGCACCAATCTCCCCTTTAGCTGGTGCTCACCAACCATCCTAGATCCTAATTGCTGTCCAAACCCCTATCATGGAAATCTCTCCACAGTAAAATCCAGCCACAAAAATACAGTGGGCTGAAATGTGTGTTGCCCTCAGAGATGTGTTGGTGGGCATGGTGAGAGAATGTGAATTTAATAGAACAGAAACGAGAAGAAGCAATGAACCAGCAATGAAACGAACCCACCTCTGACAGACAGACCTCCGGACTCCTCCAGACATGCACACAAAGGGGGCCAAATTAGGACTGCCCGGGTGACTTGAATTCTGGCATTGCTAATTTCTCTGTGCTTGACTTTTCTCATGCCGTATTTCATTAATGGATGGGCTAGGCACCCTGACTGCACAACGGGCATGTGGGCCCTCGGAATGATGTCACAGGATAAGCCCTGTCCCAGCAGTGTACAGTGTGGAATCACCAAAAACAGGAGAATCCCTCAGCCCATAATTACTAGAGGCTGGTAGTGACCCCTATATTTAATTTGAACCCAGTTCACTCCGCAGACTGTGCTGGAAGGAGGTGGGGATGGGAGGCCTGGCCTGGCCTGGCCTCCTCCCCAGCTCTCTCTACCCACTTTGGAGAGATAGGTGCCCCTAGGGCTGCAGGTTGGGAACGGTTCCTGCACTCCTTTGAGCTCCTTCCACACACTCATGCACAGGTCAGGCACAGTCTGGCCCACAGTCCCCTTCCCTCAGCCCCGCAATGCTCCGCTCCTGGAGCACCAGCCGCTGTACCTTGCCCTCCTGCTCCCGCAGCTCAGACACTTCAGTCTGCATGTAGAACTTCACCCTGTTGTTTTCAAACATCTGTGCAACGAGAGAGAGACACGAGTCCTTACGCTCTGGAGCTGCCACTAGCTTCTGGCTTCTCTGACTCTTCCTCCACAATCCCATTCCCTCCTTCTTGAGCTACAGCTCTCAACTCGGCTTGAGGGTGCACTGGAAACGGGCTCTCTGAGCATCTCTGCGCCTCGCCTGCTCAGTGGGGTGTCATAATTTTGCAGTGTAGGAACACAAAATACTTGAGCATATTGCAATTAGGCCAATGGGGAGGATATGGCCAATGTTTTCTTTTAGGTGTCAACCACCGTGCAGCACTTTATAGCTTCAGAACACTGCATGCACATTTAATACATCAAATAAACTGAACACAATGATACCACTAACTGATAGTGCCAGCAGGGAGGTAAGACGTGCACAGCTGTCCGCCGCACAGCAGGAATCAGGGTCACTGACCCCCTTGCTTGATCCAAAATAATCCTCTAAGAGACTGGTAAGTCATAATCACCTTCATGAGAGCTTGGCCAACCTTCTCCCCAAAGAACTTCTTGAAAGGCACTTCTTCCAGCTCAACCACAGATACAGAATGGGCCTTCTCTGTCAGGTAGGCTGCCACTTCCATCCCTGGGGAACAGAAGCAGGTCAGAGACAGCGCACGCCACTCCCTGCACTTCAGTGAGGTCTCTGGAGCTGAATTCAAGAGCTGTCAGGTGGTGGCTAGAGATGTGAGAACTTTCAATTCGCCCTTTCAGGGCTGGGAACAGCTGCCATGGCATGAGCGGCTGTCTTTGGGCTCAGCACAAGGATGCACTGCAGATGGTATGAAGAATGTTTTCCTAGCAAGCCGCTCTCTCAGTCTATTGTAAGCGCTAGAGGGCAGGGACCACCTTTTTGTTATATGTGTGTAACGTCACCCCTTCCCTCCTAGCACTGTCAGGGTCTGATCCATACTGGGGTCTCTGGTATGACTGCAATTTGAGGACTACCGCTGGTATGCATAATGATAATTATGGCTCAGCATGACCTGGGTTGCCTCAAGCCGCCTGATTCCCCGCGATGGGAACTGGAATTGCTATTCTGGGATATTAAGAGTATTCATAGGGTGGGCAGAAACCTTCTGCTCTCCAAAGGGCTTCACAGTGATCGTTTCTGTGTTTAACCACAAGACCAATTATTTATTTGTGAAATGCTTATGAGGAGGAAGCCACAAAAAGGCTTTGAAGACTGAAGTAAATGATGCACTGTAATATACTTAGTAAATGGTCATTGAAAAGCATCGCGGTTTGCAGTGGTGTTGTAGCCATGTTGGTCCCAGGATATGAGAGACACAAGGTGGGTGAGGTAACATCTTTTATTGGATCAACTTCTGTGGCTGAAACAGATAAGCTTTCGAACTCCACAAGCCTGAAGAAAAGCTCTGTGGAGCTCGAAAGCACGTCTCTCTCACCTACAGAAGTTGGTCCAATAAAAATATTACCACACCCACCTAGTCTCTCTCATTTAAAACCATAACTTTATGAATAGAAGAACTAGGAGGAACATACCTTCTGTGGCTGGGATCATAGTCAAGCTTACTGAATTATACATTGCAAGTATGATTCATTGTGAATTTAGCTTTTTTTTTTCTAATCATGAACCAATCCCGATGTCTGGGAATGTGTTTGTTATTTGGAAGCATTGTTCAAATAACCTGGCCAAGAGATTTTCAACCTATCGGTTGTCTGTGAATTGTTCACTTTGACTATTTGCAGTTTGTGACTGGTCGCCATGGTTGCGTGTTATAGTTTCTGCTTCCTGACTGGATAGATTACATCTTGAAACCAGGAAACTGACCCAAACAATAAGTATCCAATATGTGCATGCAGTTCATAGACTGGTCAGCCTAATTGTTCAGTCTTCTCGACGATTAATTAAATTAATTTACCAGTTGGGGTCGGGAGGGCTGTGTCCTAGAAAGTAGTGACTCAGAGGACTTAGAGGTCATGGTGGAGACCAGCTGAATATGAGCTCCCAGTGCACTTCAGTGGCTATAAAAGGGCTAACACAATCTTTGGATGTACAAAGAGAGGATTATTGAGTAGGGAGGTGTTATTGCCTCTATCTGCAGCATTAGCAAGACCATTGCTGGATCCTGTGTCCAGTTCTGGTATCCATACTTCAAAAAGGATGTTGAAAAATTGGAAGGGGTCAGAAAAGAGCTACAAGAACCATCAGGGATTTGGAAAACCTGCCTTATAGGTTCCAGATATAGATATCAAAGAAGATGTTAAAAACTTGCAGCTTAGTTTATTTCCCGTTTGAATTTGTCTACCTTCCTATTCCAGCCTTGGATCTTGGTATGCCTTTATCTGCTAGATTACAAAATTCTTCTCTCCATGTAGGTACTTCTAGACTGCGATGAACTCACCTCTTAACCTGCTCTTGGACAAGGAGGGGATGGGATTTTCAGCAATGCCACCATTAGTTAGGAGCACAAGTCACTGCAAATCTCAGCTTGAGCTCCTTTAGTCTCTTGCAATAAGGCACATTTTCCAGCCAGTTAATCTCTCTCATAGCACTTCTCTGAACTCTTTCCAGTTATTAACATTCCTTTTAAATGGACACGGTATTTCAGGGCTGGTCTCACTGGCGCTTTATGCAGAGGCAATATCACATCCCCTGCTCCAACTCGATAGTCCCCTGCTTATAAGACCATTATGTCTGAAGTCATGACGACAAGCTTTGTTGTTTATTTCAGAGTAGCTGCCGTGTTAGTCTGTATCTGCAAAAAGAACAGGAGTCCTTGTGGCACCTTAGAGACTAACACATTTATTTGAGCATAAGCTTTCATGGGCTACAGCATCCGAAGAAGTGGACTGTACCCCATGAAAGCTTATGCTCTAATAAATAGTGTTAGTCTCTAAGGTGCCACAAGGACTCCTGTTCTTTTTGCAGATACAGACTAACACGGCAGCTACTCTGAAATAAACAACAAAGCTTGTCGTCATGACTTCAGACATAATGGTCTTATAAGCAGGGGACTATCGAGTTGGAGCAGGGGATGTGATATTGCCTCTGCATAAAGGGCCAGTGAGACCAGCCCTGAAATACCATGTCCATTTAAAAGGAATGTTAATAACTGGGAAGAGTTCAGAGAAGTGCTATGAGAGAGATTAACTGGCTGGAAAATGTGCCTTACTGCAAGAGACGAAAGGAGCTCAAGCT